CCAGCCTGGGAGATGGCCAGCCACGGATGGACACTATTTTATACAGCAGTGGTCTGGCTTTCTTGGGTTTACATTTTCACGGCAGGTAGAAATGCAGCCAGAATGGTTAAAAAAAAATAACAGCTGGACAAAAATAATCCACAACTATTGAGAGTAGCAATAATTTACTGAAGAAGGCCAGAGAGCTCACTTGTTAGAACGTGAGATATTTGTGAGGCAGGGTAGTTCAATGGCTGAAAGTATGCACTCAGGTTTGCATCCTGGCTCTGTTGCATTCCAGCTGTGTAACCTTGGGCAAATCATCTAGTGTCTCTGTGCTTCAGTTTTCCTCATCCGTAAATTAGAATCCTAAGAGAACCCACCTTACAGAGTTATTTGTGAGGATAAAATTAATTCCCACAGAGCACTTGGAACAGCATACTCAGCACATGGGGAGTGTAGGTGTTGGCTATTACTTACTCTATGTCAGGGTGGGACTGAGTCATTGGCAGGCATTATAGTTTTTAATCTTCATAATGATCCTGCAAAGCATTACTATTGGCCACAAACTACAGATGAGAACATTGTAGGTATAGGGAAGCTAAGTAGTTTCTTCATGACTATCTTCATAGGTTAATAAGACACAGGTTTGCCAGAACAGAACCCAGGTCTGCCTTGAAAGCACATTTTATTTACCAACAGACTAATAAATTAAAGCAGTGGAAAGACTGCAGATGGGGATTTATTTTCCCAATTGTGTTGGTTTATCTAACCCACAACCAAACACAACGAAGCTGATGAACAAGGCAGAGAAAGACAGGGCTCAGGAGTGAGAAGGCACAAGAAGATCATGACAGCAATGATATCATGTATATGAAAAGTTTACTAAAACTAACATTTGTTGTAATAAATGGAAGGTGATTCCATGCAGAGAAATATTTTCAGATGGGCCTCTCCTTATGAATTTCCAATTTCGAGTGACTCAGATGGCTGAACAGCTGATGCTATTAGTCTTCAGCTCCTACTGCTATAGTATTAATTGTAGGAGGCAAACCTAGCCAGTTGCTACACAGTTGCTAGATGCTAGGTACACACACACACACACACACACACACACACACACGCAGGCACAGGATAAACTGTGCTATGATTGTGCCAAGGCACTCCAGCCTGAGTGACAGAGGAAAACTCTCTTAAAAAAGGGGGAAGGAGGCTGGGCGTGGTGGCTCATGCCTGTAATCCCAGCACTTTGGGAGGCCGAGGTGGGCGGATTACGAGGTCAAGAGATCGAGACCATCCTGGCCAACATGGTGAAACCCCATCTCTACTAAAAAATACAAAAAAAAATTAGCTGGGTGTGGTGGCACGTGCCTGTGGTCCCAGCTACTCGGGAGGCTGAGGTGGAAGAATCGCTTGAATCCAGGAGGCAGAGGTTGCAGTGAGCCGAGATTGTGTCACTGCACTCCAGCCTGGCTACAGAGCAAGACTCCATCTCAAAAAAAAAAAAAAAAAAAAGGAGAGAGAGAGAGAAATACAAGATGCTGCCCAGCCAGTGAGTACACCTGTGATCTTGCTTAGTTAATACCTCCAAACACAACAGTGCTAAACCCCTACATTGGCAGGAAGCTTTATATTTCTCAAAAAATTCCTTCCCAAAATATTTCTGGAAATCTTAACCTATTTGTCCCCTCAGTCCCTCCAGCTGTGGGACCTTTGTAAGTGCCTTTCCCTTCCTTTTCGGAGTCCTGGGGATTTTGCTTATCATCTGTGCCCTGGCTGCAGCTCTGCAAGCCCCTACTGTTCTGGTGGTTCTTGCTCTCAAGGGTGCTCTACTTCATTGTCTACTCTGTTACTGTCCTCCAGACTTTAGCCTCCTATGTGTCATGGAGTTGTCTGAGCGTCTCCACGTCATCCACCTCTTCACATCTCTGCAACCCTCTTCCTTTGTTTATGCCTAGTTCTTTCGTGGAGGGTCATTCTCCTGGCCCCAAAACTTTCTATTCTGCTAAGTTCAATTAAATCAGCATATATTGATACCTCTTCTGAGCTAGGTGCTTGGTGCTGGGAATGCAGTGATAATAAACAAGTCTCTATGGCCTTAAGAGATTATATTCTAATGGGGGAGAAAACTCTGTAAACAAATAGTTTCAAAATAATGTGGTGATAATATACAAAGATGAGCCCAGGTCAAATGAGAACACAATCCATCCTGGTAGTTCAGGATGGCTCCAAGGAGGAATTTATGTCTCTCAGGATGTGTTCAGAGATTTTAACCACATAAAAAAGGAGGAAGAAAGGTCAGGGAGAAAAGATGATGAGCCTAGGCAAGATGGGTACATACAGGAAAAAGACATGCAGTTGAATGGGGTGGGCCCTTGAAGTATGAAGCAGAGTGAGTGTCAATAAAAGAAGGGATAAATAGAAAGATATGATGGAAGGCTCTGCTTTGCTGTTTCAAGAAACTTATATTTAATTCTGTAGTGTGTGATTACTCAAGCAAAAAAAAAAAAAGTCCATTCGCATGCACATAGAAATGTACAGACAGACACATATAAAGTTGCCCATGATTTCAGCCATCCCACCAACATACACCCCTGGAAGTAAATCCACATGCTGAAGATGAAGATAGGATAAGCTGGGATGAAGGAGAATCCTTTGAACTATTTTAAGCAGCGAATTTTATGATCACATGTTAGTTTAAATACGTTACTATCGAGTTGCATTACAGGCAAGTCTGGAGTCAGGGAGTACAATGCAAAGATGTTCTGTATCTAGGTAAGAGATGACAAGGTTATGAATTTGAGGATTAGTGACAAAGCTGGAGAAGAAGCTATGACAGCAGCACGTCTTGTGAGTCATGAGGAAGAAGAGGAGTCAGAGATGACTTCAAATTTCCAGCTGGGACAGAAGCTTGGTTGGGAGAAACAGTAATGAGTTTATTTTTGGACATTTGAGTTTGAAATGTCTTCGGGACAAGACAGCTTGGTGACAAACAGGCAATTGGATATAAATTAGTAGGTATACTAGTCTGAAGTCCCAAGAAGGGGTCAAAGTTAGTAATATAGGTTTGGGGGTGGGGGAGTCATATGAATATCTGCCAACTTGATTTTCACTGTGCTAAAGTATCATATGACTACAGTTAATAAAAATGTGTTGTATCCTTGAAAATAGATGAGAACAGATTTTAGGTTTCCTCAGTATATGAGGTAATGCTTATGTTAATTAGCTCAATTTAGCCATTCCGTAATGTATACATATTTCAAAGTGTTTTCCATGACAAATAATTAAATATATAATTTTTTAAAAATACAGAAGATTCTGAATTCACTATCATAATGATCCATTAGAGGGGAAGAAAGGATTGTAGGATCACGATGATATGGACAAACCTAGTAAGGCTCTCCAAACCGGGTCTATTCCCTTCTCACCGAGGTAGTCCTTTACTCACTTTCTCACTTCCGCCTGACATTTCCAGTCCTACACAAGCCCATGTTAAAATCTGATGGGATGGCAATAAGAGCCAAAAAATTCAATCCCAGATCCTAGTTGATGTTTTCATAGGAAAAAAATCCTTTATATTTAGTTTTATGAAACATAGAATAATAGCATTTTATTGTGCCAACATCTTAGTACAGTTACTATGTTCTTGGTGATTTCTAAGCTACCAGACCTGGAGATGAAATTTATTTCGGGATCCTTCCAAGTGGTCTCCCCTACAATTCATTCTTCATAGAGCAGCCAGAATCATCATGTAAATATAAATCAGAGCATGGCACCCTCCTGTTTAAACCCATCCAATGGATTCACACCGCTATTCAAATAAAGCCCAAGCTTCCTACTGTGTAGTGGCCCATCTTTATCACACCCCTTCCAGGCTCCTCCAGGACCTCCCTGACCTTCCCTTGTTCCCTTTTCAAGACAAGCTCTTTCCTGACTCAAAAATATCCTGTTTTCCTTTTCCTAGAACTCTCTGCCCTCAATATTTCGTATAGCAGGCTCCTTCTCATCTTTCATGTATGAGTTCAAAACTTCATTCCTTACAGAGGCCTTCCCTGACCACCATTTCTAACCCTTAATAACCAACCCACTCTCTATCATGTTACTGTTTTATTATTGTCCACATAATGCTTATCACGATCTGAAATCATGATTTTTGTTTTGTATACTCGTTTATTGTATATTGGAGCCATGAAGACAGTTACTTCATTTGAATCTTCCACATAAGAAATGTATCTAATAAATATTTGTAAAATGAATAGACTAATTAATTGAACATTCCGATTCCATAAAATTAGTAAGTAAACAGTTAAGTAAAAAAAGAAAGCTCTCTGAACAAAGATGCCAGGCTCTGTAGTTGACACTGTCAATGGAACTGTCTTTCAGTAGTTCCCACTCTGGTGAAGACAATAGGCAATTGATTGTGAGGCCCTAACTAGGAGGCAAATGAAGGGTCCTGTGGAATCACAAAAGAAAGGATCCCTTAAAGAGTCGTTAAAATCTGAAGGATGAGTGAGTGAAGGGAAAATGAGGGCTGACGGGGTTGAAGGAATGTGGCAAACCCCTAGGTAGAAGGAACAGTAAGTAAGAAGCTATGAGATGAGAATGTGAGAAATGTTAAGCAGTTCCCTATTCCTGGAGCGCTTTCCCAGGGTGATTGTAGGATTCGATGACATAGCATACATACTACTGTGAATGGTAACTCGCCGTATAAGTTACCGTTACGAATAAACACAGACCTGTAACTGCCAGTCACTTATTATATCTTCTGATATTCAAAGAAAAAGGAAGGATAATTTTGAACAGGTACTTCGTGTGATGGCCTCTGTGACTTACACGCCAGGTCCTGCGACCTCACACCATCCGCTACACTAGTTGGTGTTGCCTTGACCACGAATCTCATTGGTCTTCCCAAGTGGAAACTGTTGCAGGTTTGCTGTGGAGATATCCAGAGGCCCGCCCCCTGTCGCTGATTGGGTGAGGGGCGGCCAAATCAGAAAACCTGCCTCAGTCTCCCAGCTGCTCCACGTGGCCTGTTGCTTGGCAACTGATTTGCTTCCTCCGTTGCGAGGCTGCCGGGCTGCACCTGTGAAGTGGAGACAACGTGCTAGGACCTTGGTGGGCGTACACCTCTCACTCCCACTCAGGCGCCGACGACACGGGGTTGTCTGTTGCTCTTGCAAGTTCGTCTTGAGACTGGGCTGTGAGCTGGCACTGCAGTGAAACGCCACAGACGAGGAAGTGCCCAAGTTTTCCTTCGGGAAGTTCTCGTTTAGAGGAGTCAGGAGAAAAACTCATTGTTATATCCCACATTTAGAAGCCAATTATCTTGGGAGGCTTCCGAGGTTCTAGAAAGCAAGTAACTTACATCAGTTTACTAAATGTGGGAAGGTGGCCCATAACTTCAAACATCTGCCTCAGAGTAAACCTGAGGCATTTGGGGGCTAGTGCCAGACCGTCCGCTGCCTATCATGAGCGGCAGCGCTTACCGCTTGCTGCAAAGAGACTTCCATGAGCTCAGGGAGAACAACTATAAGGTAAGTACTAGGCACGTGGAGGGATGTGTTTCATTGTGCAATAATTTTTAAGAGACAGTTTAACCCATGTTTATTTTATAAGTCGTAATTTAGTTAAACCTGATTTGCCACTCCAGTATTGTTATTTAATAAATATCTCACTAATGTATTTCACAATAATAATTATTATTCAAAATAATAATGCCTAACAATATTGAGCATATTGTCCAGAGTAATTTATGTGGATCTAGGCGCTGAATATCAGGGTCTGTTATGTAGTTAGTGGCTAGCAGGTGCAGGCTTATGCTCATTAATTATAATGCTATAAAATAAGTAGTATTTCATTTACCTACCAAAAACCTAAGGCTCAAAAACATTCTGTAAAGATTTGGCCCATGATTCCATTACAGGGTTTTCTGATTTCAAAGCTCTAGTTCTTAATTCTTGTGTTCCACTACTTACTGTCCAGTGCACTTTTACCAGCATAACACATAAATGCCTTCCTTCTATAGTTTTAACACAAAGAAAGCAATAGCCTTGGCCTTAAATGCCACCAATGAGGTTATCAATGTCCGTAGGTGCCACAGGCTGATTTATGGAAAATGAAAAATGGTAGAGGGGGCAAAGAGGGAGTGCTTAAGGGAAAGAATAGAAAGAAAGCTGCCCATAGAAGGAAGGTATAGAGTCCTTCCCACAGTTGCTTCAGGTATAGTTCAGTGGATTGTTCGGTTTTTACCTCTGCTATAAAAGTACTGCCTTCACTGGAGATGTTAGGAACAGTTATGGAGTCCAACAGCAAACATTCCAGAGGCATGGACATAACATTTGATATTGTTTCTGCTCATCCTGAGCTTTGTGGTTCTCTGTTGAAAGAGAATCCAATGAAGGAATATGTAAATATAGATAGTAGAGATACAGTGCTGACCCAGACAAGCATTAACATACTTAAAAACTATGTAGGTGCTCAGGAGTATTTTTGTCAGTTTATGTAAGCGTATTAGCACAATTCGTAAGGTTTTCTATGAAATACATTCTTGTCTCTCCATTGGAGCAATACCTCAAGTATGGGAAAACTTTGCTTTTATATACAAGTGTAATTTTGGATTTTTTCTTAATGAAAATGTTTCCACTTCATGTCATTCATGTAGAATTCGTATAGCTATAAAATGTTTTGAAGAAACATGCACTTTCCAACTATTTCTTTCTTTTAAAATTGGAATCTTAAATTGGTTATTGACTTACACAAAGAGTATATAAGCCACACATCCTAGTCTTGACTTTCTAGTCCCACTTGTGATTTCCACACTTATGATTTATTTTTATTTCCTATTGAATATGTTTTCTGGGATCTATATTAACTTCTGTGTCATAAGACACATAACACCTCCCCAGCAAATAAACTTATCAAAAAAAGAAAATTTAGAGTATTTAGAATTCAGTGTCAGCTGGTATATGATTTTTAAAACTTCAATAAATACTTAATAAGTTGTATGTGATTTAATTTTGTTTTTAACTTAAAGGGTATCACTGGTAGGCCTGTAAGTGAAGATATGATGGAATGGGAAGCTGAAATTGAAGGTCTACAGAATTCAGTTTGTCAGGGTTTGTATTTTCAAAACTAATCTATTTTTAAAAAGTCTTTCTACCATTATTAGCCCATCCTCTTTTTATGTAGGATAAGGTTGCATTATATAAATTTCCTGAAATTCTTCTTTATATGTAAAATAAGTTTGCATTATACCAATTATCTAAAATTCTAAAAGTATTTCCATTATTTTTTCATTATATGGATAATTGTTTTGCCATGTGTCAACATAGATGGAAATTTGGGGTATTTTTCTTTATGCTAAATCTTAATGTTATTACATTTTTAAGATGCAGACACAATAAAGCATATCAATTGAGAATATCTTCTGTCTTCCATGAGATCAGGGAATAACTATCGAAATTCCTATTGGCTTCAAAATCCCACAGTTACTTCTCATTTTTTCCTTTATAATTTTCCCTCAAATTTCTATAAATCAAAAAATCTCAAGAAGACTGAGCCACTATAAACTGTAATGATCATGTTTTCTTTCAATCATGGATTAATAAGAGATTTCTTGAGTGAGGTAGGGGAGACAAATATATCAGCAGATAATTACAATAAAATATGCATTATTATGAATTTTGAACAGAATGCTAAAGAGGAAAAGGATTAGTTAATTATGCCTGAGGGAGTCAGGAATGTCTTCCCAAGGAGATCACATTTGAGTTGGGTCCTGAAAAATGTGTAAGAGTCTGCCAGGTTCAGAAGGAGGAGAAGAAAATTCAGGCAGAGTAAACGGCACAGCAGAGACTTGGAGACAAGAAAGGTTGTAGCAGATTCTGGGAACATGAATTCAGTCAATATGAAATACAATGGAGGGGCTGGGTATTAAGGGGACAAAGGTAGCAGATGGAAAGGACTAGTGGGAAAGAGACTGAAAGCATGTGATAATAATAGGTTGTGAAGTGTCTGTTATACTATCCAGAGGAGTCTGTATAGTCGGTGAATCAATTTACTTGAAAATAAAACTGTGGAAAGTCTAAACCACAGGGAGAAACTCCAGTGTTAATCAGGTTACAGTTAATCAATACAACATGACACTTTAGTAAAAATGTTTATTTCTATGTCATAGATTTAGTCTTCCAACTGACAATACATTTTACATCGGAGTACAACCATATTCCTCCAGTTGTGAAATTTATAACAATTCCTTTTCATCCAAATGGTAAGAACTAAATGAGATTTTTATCATCAGAGGCTTTGTTCCTATTATCCTTGTTTCTTATAATAATCATGTTTCTTTTTAAGAGCTTTATTATGATTATAAAAGTAAGAACTCTCATTGGGGAAAATATGAAAAGCCTGGAAAAAATTAACAATCACCTTAAATCCTAATGCAAAGAGAAAATACTGTCAACATTTCGCCAAATTTATTTTCTTTTTTCTATGTATGAACTTTTCTCTATGTAGTTGAGGTATTACATATGAAGTTTTGCCTCTAGGTTTTTAATTTTATTTATTTTATGTACGTGTGTGTGTGTGTGTGTGTGTGTGTGTGTGTGTGGTTTTTTTTGAGACAGGTTTATTCTGTTGCCCAGGCTGGAGTGCAGTGGTGTGATCTTGGCTCACTGTAACCTCCGCCTTTCTGGTTCAGTCGATTCTCCTACCTCAGCGTCCCGAGTAGCTGGGACTACAGGCATGCACCACCACACTCAACTAGTTTTTGTATTTTTAGTAGAGACAGGGTTTCACCATGTTGGCCAGGCTGGTCTTGAACTCCTGACCATCCATCCACCTTGGATCCCCAAAGTGCTGGGATTACAGGCGTGAGCCACCGCGCCTGGCCTAGGTTTTTAATTTTAAAACTATGTATCTTTTTTCTGCGTTGTTAAACATTTTTAAAAGATCGTCTTAAATCGTTCAACAATACACTTAACCATTCCTCTATTGTTCAATATTTTAGTTGGATCTAATTTTTCATTATTAAAAAAAATGATATTTTTTTATAAATATCATGTCCATAAAGTAGAGGGAACTTTAGTCTCTAGGAGGGAAGGTATGGGAAAACTTGTGACCGCTCTTTTGTTACCCATCTCTCCTCCCAAGGGAAGTCACTTATCTGATTAGGAGGATGAAGGAAAGAATTAAGCATTAGTGGCCCAGAATTTTCTCAACACTCTCTCTTTCTAACTATCCTGGGTACAGTCTCTTTTTCTGCAGGCAGGAAATTTAGGCAGGCCTTCAGTTTGGGAGTTAAGTTCAAATCAGGGGGACTTTTGTGGAGCCTGATTAAAGCCATTCATCAAGTGCACTCTCCATTTCAGTGTTGCGTACAATGAAGCTGATGTTTTTACTTCCATCTTTCAATACTTGATCTGTTTTATAATTACATATGAACTTGAAGGGTTAAAAGGATTATTTACTAGCTTTCAAACCCCCCAAGGATGGCTATGTACAGTTTTAAGTCTTTAGATATAAAAAGCCAAATTGCCTTTTGGTGGTATTTATACTCCTACCAAAAAGTATATATAAAGTTCTCATTTTAGTACCTTCCAATTCTGGCCATTGAAACTTTGAAGAAATTTTTTTTGCCAATTTGGTAAGAGCCTTGGTATTATTTTAATAAGCGCTTCTTTGAATACTTGAGAAGGAAACATTTTTTCACATTTGTTGATTCTTATTTTGTGACTTGTATGTTATAATTGACAATGTTATCACATTGTCCTAGATGCTGCAAATATTTCCTCTAATTTGTCATTAATTTTCAATTTTGTTTATGCCATTTTTTCACATCTGGGATTTAGAGATTTTTATGATTTAAAATAAGTTTATATTTAAGATCTATTACTCTTTTCCTTTGGGGTTTTTGCGATTGTCTTTCATCTTAGATGATCCTTTCCCAAAACAAAATCAAATAGTCATTTTAAGTTTCTTCTAGTCCATTGTATAGTTGTATTTGTCTTATTTAACTCTATTATTTCTCCAAACACTAAATTAATTGTGTTAGGGTATAGGCCAAGCTTCTGTACATCTTTCCAACTTAATATAACAGGCCAAGGCTGGAGGTTAAGTTTTGCCCATCCTCAAGGTGGAGGATTCCATTTCTGGGACTAAAGCATTTACTCTGTCACCATTTCCAGTCAGTGGGAAGGGGGAAAAAAAGAAGGAAAACCAAGCCGGGCGCGGTGGCTCAAGCCTGTAATCCCAGCACTTTGGGAGGCCGAGGCGGGTGGATCACAAGGTCAAGAGATCGAGACCATCCTGGTCAACACGGTGAAACCCCGTCTCTACTAAAAAAATACAAAAAATTAGCTGGGCATGGTGGCCGTGCCTGTAATCCCAGCGACTCAGGAGGCTGGGGCAGGAGAATTGCCTGAACCCGGGAGGCGGAGGTTGCGGTGAGCCGAGATCGCGCCATTGCACTCCAGCCTGGGTAACAAGAGGGAAACTCCGTCTCAAAAAAAAAAAAAAAAAAAAAAAAAAAAAAAAAAAAAAAAAAAAAAAAAAAAAAAAAAAAAAAAAAGAAGGAAAACCAGCTTCCTTTAAAAAATGATTCAGAAATTGCACACTTATATTCCACAACTAAAACTTAGTCACAGAGCCATATCTTGCTAGAGGAGAGGGTAGGAAAAACAGTAGGGGCACCTATATATTCAGCCAAAACAACACGGTAATGGATGGGAACCAGGGATGGATATAGTGCTTCTTATTGCAGAGAGGAACTAGGAAAAAGGAAGAGTAAATGCAAATCATTTTTCTGGCATATCATTTTAATGTTTGTAAGTTTTAAATGATAATTTATTATATATGCCAATATTAATGTATTATTTTAATACAGTAGACCCCCATACTGGTCAGCCCTGTATAAGTTTTTTGGACGACCTTATGATGTGGAATACAAACTATACATTGAGCAACATCTTACTTGCCCTACAGGTAAGAATAGATTGCATATAATCTTCTTTTTAATACTTTTAATTACCTAACTGTTCAAACTATAAGAATTAAAACATACAATGCATATTTAAGTATTTAAAGAATTTGAGAAGCTTTTTTAAATCAATATTTCTATATGAAGGCTACAAAGTGGAAATTATAAAGACTATTATTTTTAAGTGAAACTGATAGTTAAGGCCCCTTAAGACCAAAGAATACGTATCTTATAAAAGAAGAAAATAATGATTTAGGTGGTTTCAATTCTGAAAATATAACCATAGGTTTTCTTTTGGCTCCTAACTTCATTTCCTGGTGTTGAACAGGCCTTTTACATCCTTCTTCATTTACTGACCTTGCCTTCCTGAGAGAGATGGATCAAGTGACTACAACTTAAAATGCTCACCTTTGTTTTTTGTTTCTGACAGTGCTAGTTAGCTGCTTTCTGTCTCATTAGCATTCATATCAAACCCAGTGAAAAATTATGCCAAGGATTTTCTCCTCTCCTCAGATGCCTGTTTCTCAAATGCCACCTTTACCCACTGGACCCATGGTCCTTAGAAGCATACCTCAGTGTTGTGCCTTTTCCTTTCTTTCTTTCTTTCTTTTTTTTTCTTTGATAGGATCTGGCTCTGTTGTCATCCATGCTGGAGCTGCAGTGGCACAATCATAGTTCACTGCATCCTCAACCTCCTGGGCTCAAGTGATCCTACCACTTCAGCCTCTCGAATAGCTGGGACCACATTGTTTTTTAATTTTCTCTAGAAAATTTAATTTTTTTAATTAAAAAAATTTTTTTAAATGTTCTCTAGAAATTTTAATTTTTTAAGCATAAAAAAAATTTTTTTTAAATTTTCTCTAGAGAAAGGGTCTCACTATGTTGCTCTGGCTGGTCTCGAACTCCTAGGCTCAAGAGACCCTCTTACCTCAGTCTCCCAAGTTGCTGGGATTACAGGGAGCAGACACCACATCCAGCTAGTGTTGTATTATTTCAGATTCTTAAAAAATCCTCATATCTTATCTGATGCTAAAATGAATTATTTCAGCAACACTTGCTTTGACCACTTAGATCTAGCTTAGCAATAATCTATCCATGGACCTACTTATCACTAATAATGCCTGGAGATAAATTATTACATTTTGATTATCCAGAATACTTGGAATATAAAATATTCTGGCATCATTGAATTTTTAAAATATTGAATTATAAATTCTATTTCTTGTATTTCTTATTTTTGAAAATAAAATTATACTTTCTTGGCTAGTCATCTTAGCATACTAAGTACATTGTAATCTTTAGAAAAGATTCAATGTTCAGTTCATTCATTCATTCTACAAATATGTATTGAGGATCTACTTGTGTGAGACTGTGTTCTAGGAAAGAAACATTTGAGCAAAAAACTTAAGGGAATGAGTGTGATATGCAGAAATCTGGGGTTAATCCTTTAGATTCCTTTAAACTGAGATATATTCTGATCTCATCTATGTAAACTAGAGTCTGCCATAAGAATAGCTAAATGATTTCAAAATGTAATGAGTATGGGCAAACCAGAATGAACTGGTGAAAATTTTGAATTGCAGAATAATTTGATAAAAGGGAAATTTGGGGCTCTGAGTTAAAGTTAAATTGCTTGGCTTCACATCCTGATTCTGTCACTTGTTACCTTTGTATCATTGGACAAAATTTTCCCACTTCTCCATGCTTCAATTTCTTCATCAGTAAAATGGGGCTATTGTTACCTCATGAAACCTGTGAGGATGAAACTAATAAATGCATGTAAAGAATTTGGAACTCTGCCTGGTCCAAGAAAAGAACTGAATAGTTAATACAGGTTGAGTGTTTCTTGTTTGAAATGCTTAAGATTTGGGGATTTTTCCAGTTTTTGAATATTTGCATTATATATGCTCACTATTTGAGCATCCCAAATTTGAAAATTTGAAATCTGAAATGCTCCAGTGAGCAATTCCTTTGCACATCATGTCAGTGCTCAGAAAGTTTTGAATTTTGGAGTATTTAGGATTTCAGATTGGGATGCTGAACCTCTAGTTGGTTAATATTATGATTATTCTTACTATTAAACAGTAATGCAAAGTGATACTAAAGTGTTGCTAAATATATCATGGAAAGCCAGTAGATAACACAGTTTTTTGTCTTTTTATTTTTCAAAAACATCAATAAAACAAATTGTGCACACATTACAAAAGATTTTTAAGATAATGAGAAGGAAAAGAAAATCACTGATAATTATAAAGAAAACCCTTAACTCTGCTCTTACTAAGAAAGAGCTTCCTGATCTTTTCTCCTGTGGTTCTATTTAAAATCTTTCGGTGGATTCCACCTTCTCCACAGGTGTAAGCTCTAGTTCTGTTGCATATCTAATCCTCACACCTAAACTCTCCCTAATACACCATGCAATTCTGCTCCTACTTTATCTTCACTCACATTGCTTGGTTCAGTTCAGATCAAAAAACATTAATAGAGTTCTAAAGTCTTAGACCTTAGAAAATTGTCAGTCCAATTCCCCTCTGCCTGGCAACCCATTTTCTCCTCCCTTCCTCCTCAGTCTGTCCAGTAAGCAGCTGTTCATGTTGTAAAAGTTAGTTCAAATGAGTCTTCCTCTAGGATACCTTTTCTGATTTATTTTCCTAGGTAGAATTAATAGCTTTGGTTTCAGGGGAGCTTCCTTTGCCACACACCCAACAGTCCCCTGAGCAGGTTTCTGTTAGAACACTAATACTACAGTACACACACTGCTTACTTATCTGTCTTCTCCTATTGGACTACAAGCTCCCCAAAATCAGGAAATAGGTCTAGTTCATCCTTGATTTCCCAGTGCCTAACCAGGACAATGCTGACATTTGGTAGATATTAAATAAAATGAATGAATCTGAATGTTTACATTGTTGCAGTTATGGTATGTATATTGTCATGCACTTTGCAGCAAGGATACATCGTGAGAAATGAATTGTTAAACATTTCATCATTGTGTGAAGATCATGGAGTGTACTTACACAAACCAAGATGGTATAGCCTAACACATACCTAGGCTATGTAGTATAGCCTGTTGCTCCTAGGCTACAAACCTGTACAGCTTGTTACTATACTAAACACTAGAGGCCATTGTAACACAATTTGTGTATCTAAATATAGAAAAAGTACAGTAAAAAACTGGTATTATTATGTTATGGGACCTCCATGGTATATGCCATCTGTTGTTGAGTGAAGCATTGTTATGTGGCACATGATTATATAAACCATATAGCCTGTTTCTTTTTCATTTAACGTTGTCTCTCAAGTTACTTCCATATGGTTACAATCAATATTTTAATAGCCGTTCAGTATTCCTTTGAAGGTCAGTGCTACCCAGTAGAACTTTCTGCATTGATGGAAATGTCCTTTATATCTGCACTGTTCAATACAGTAGCCACTAGCTATATGTGGCTATTGATCACTTGAAATGTTGTTACTGTGACTAAGGAACTGAATTTTTTATTTTATTTCATTTTCATTATTTTAAATTTAAATAGTCACCTGTGGTTGTGCCTATAGTGATGGACAATACAAGTTTAGACCATAATTACTAACTACTTCTTTTTGAATAACAAATGAGATACATTTCCAATTATCACATTGTTATTCAAGGGGAAGGTACTTGAAATGTTGTTTAAAATTTTTTGAAGTCTAAATATACTAATCAACTTCAACTAAAATTTTTATAATCTTAATTTAAATTCAATTTAAATGCATATAATAGGAAGGAATAGGTTACAGAAAGAAAGTTGTAACTTGCTTTTTGATATCTCCTGGTTTTATATCATACAATGAGCCTAATGTTAGGTTTCTTGAGAGTACAGACTATGTCTCATTTTTTAATCAATCTCCAGAGCCATACATTGTAAGCATTTGATAAATGCTTATTGAAAGTTGTATATATTGGTTTGTCTTTTTGCTCTAAAAAAGTTTACTTTTGAAACTCTCTGTTTTCTGTGTTTTCCTATAGGTTATGCTTTCTAATCCAGTGCCAGAGAATCCAGTGAATTTGGAAGCAGCCAGAATACTGACTGAAAGTGAATGTCTGTACAGAGCAATTCTAAAAGTTTTCAGCAGGCCATTACAAAGTAAGAAGTACCTACATTTTGTTACTTGGCAATTATCAATTATTTATTAAACATTTATGGCATAGTGACCTAAGAAATAATTGTTATATAAGGGAATATTTAAAATATTTTCTGTATCCATTTTCAGTAATGAAATGGTATTAAGATCTCTACTACTATAAGTGTTTGTCACACCATCAGTGTGATCCTTTTTTAAAGATCATCAAGGATCTTAAACTTAGTATCTTTAAATGTTATGGTCATATGCATGGATGGTGCCAAATGAACCTAGTCTACCCATCATAAAGATATGACGTCTAATTTTAACTCTTCAATCTGTCGCCGACATTTTCCAGACTTCACCTGTGGCACTCCAGATCTTACCAATTTGCACCACTTGTCTTCTTGATTAGCAAGATGTCAATTTTTTTTTCCAGAGAGTTCCCTCCAGGAATTCCTTCCAAGAGCACACGTGGAAATAGAGCAAAGCTCTTCAGTCTTCCTGCTCTACTGAGCAGTGTTTTCCTGATACCCTTGGTATCCTGCCAGCATCTTCGCTGTGACTTTTAACTCCAATGCCTCCATTGCCCCTGTACTCTGTCTCTCCAGGTAGTACAGCACTGCTTCTGGCTTCTTGTGCACAGAAGGGTTTCCTACAGCTGAGAGCTGGGCCCCTAGTGACATAGTTATTTCCTTTATATACTGCCCCATCTTCTGGTAGCACACAGCAACTTGCATAGTAGCTGGTATCATTACCTTCCCAATCAACAGGATTTGATTTCTTTTCTTTTCTTTCTTTTGAGATGGAGTCTCATTCTGTTGTCCAGGCGGGAGTGCAGTGGTGAGATCTCGGTTCACTGCAACCTCCGCCTCCCAAGTTCAAATGATTCTTCTGCCTCAGCCTCCTGAGTAGCTGGGATTACAGGCACCCACCACCATGCGCAGCTAATTTTTGTATTTTTAGTACAGATGGGGTTTCACCATGTTGTTCAGGCTGATCTTGAACTCCTGACCTTGTGATCTTCTCACCTCGGCCTCCCAAAGTGCTGTGATTACAGGCGTGAGCCACTGTACCCAGCTCAGGCCTTGATTTCTCATAGTGCTTTTTCTCTCAGATTTCCATTGTCTCTTTTTCTATTTCCCTTCCAGGAGCCCCAGTCCATTACCCAGGTCTGTATAATTGTGACCAAGTTCTATTGCTCCTCCTCCACAGGGTTTTTTGCTCTGATACAAATCAAGGTGTTGATCAAGCATCTTTTCCAGTACCATAGAACTTTATTATATGACAAAGTTCTTGGGGAAGCTATTTGATCCCAAGTTTAATGTGAAGTAGTAGTAGAAAATTCCTGGTCAGGCGTGGTGGCTCACGCCTGTAATCCCAGCACCTTGGGAGGCTGAGGTGGGTGGATCACAAGGTCAAGAGATCGAGACGATCTTGGTCAACATGGTGAAACCCCGTGTCTACTAAAAATACAAAAAATTAGCTGGGCATGGTGGTGCGTGCCTGTAGTCCCAGGTACTCAGGAGGCTGAGGCAGGAGAATTGCCTGAACCCAGGAGGCAGAGGTTGCGGTGAGCCGAGATCGCGCCATTGCACTCCAGCCTGGGTAACAAGAGCGAAACTCCGTCTCANCCTTCACTAAGTATGTGTTATACACTAATTTTACCCTTTTCTGACTTGGTGTCCTTTCATCTGGAATACCAGTAGGCTTGACTTGGAGTGCCATATTTCTAAAGGCTGAAGAAACTGTGTATGTTTAACCAATGGAAGAAAAGATAAAGGGCTGTTGTAAAAGCTGTTTTCAAATATTCATAGGGATTCCCCATGGAAAAAGGAGGTTTCTTCTCTGTTGCTTCAGAAAACTAACGTAGGACAAATACTGAAGCTACAAGTCAGTCATACTTTCCCCAGGCCTGCTGGGTACCAGAATTGAAGTTCAGAATATGCAGATTTGGCCCTGCCTGTGTCAGAACATACCTTAACTATATCAGGGACTCTTCTCCCATAATCAGTCATCTGGAATTAATGTTATTATCCTAAGTCTAAGCCTGGCATGTGATATGCAGACATGTAAATGTCACTTATTACCCAAACTTTTCCCCAACCTCTGTTGTTTGCCTACCCTGAACAGCAAGGTCTTTGCCCCAGTGTATTGACAAGACGACCAAGCTAAGCTCTAAGCTCAAACCCAGTGTAGAGGTTCAATGACCTTCCCATTTCCTGGCAGCCTCCTTTCCTTGTCGCCTGGCCCCTTTTCCTTTCTTAGAGTGCTTATATGCCCCAGACTGCCTGAGACAGTCCTGATATAATTATTTCCAGTGCCTCCTTTCACTTGCAGGGTACCAGTTTAGGCAATCAATTACATAGCCAAGTTGGGTGCCTAACTGATGAAATGACTCTATAGTTGCACCATTCTTAATGGTAAAGTCCATCCGGGTCCCAGTTGGCCAAATATGAGGAACAAATTTTTTTAACAATTCAAGTTGCTTAAAAGAATGGACAAGGCCAGGTTGGCAGTTAGTAAACTTTCTGTTACTAAAAGTATTCTTTTGTAACTAGTGTTTATTAGATAGAGCTAAATGACCATTTTTCAGAGATGTTATCAAAGAGCTTCTTTGATAAAAGAAGTGCCAAGAATTGGATAAGGGGGCCTTTTAAATACCTTCCAACTTATTCTTCAACTAGTTCAGGAAAACTCAGAGGAGGAAGGTCTGGAGACAATGTATAACAACTGTTTTCCTCATAGATTCTGAGTATTGCTACTTACTTTCTAATTTGTTATGAGCTTTCAGATGAGGTTTCATATGAGGAATTGTCTGCCCCTTTTTTCAGTTCATCCTTGTGAATTTTGACTTCCAAGTAGTTGTATTGTTAAGTAATATTTACTTTCTGTTTTCACAGTTGTTTTGATATTTTAAAACCTAAGTTTTGTATAATTTTTAAAACCTTTGGTTGAAGCAAAATACAAGAATATAAAAATAGTAAAGCTGAGTAATGGTAGCTAAGCCTGAGGTAATTATTTTTTCTTAGCCAAGTATATCCCTAGAGTTTTTAATAAAAAAGGAGGATCATCTAATACATTTCAGATACTCATCTAAATAAACTATAATTGACATATGAGTCATAATATTAGAATAAAGAAGAATATAGAAATATTAGGGAGATTATAATACTAATTCGTGTTGTATACTTTTTTAAAACCTGGTAATTCTATAAATACATCATATTCTGCCTACGATTAGGAAAATGTTGTGACAGACATTTGACTCTTCTCCAATTCCAGCTGCCAATTTGTCACTGAGTTTTAAAAAATCCTTATAATAATAGAGCAATTTTAAGGCAAATTGTCTCTGCAGCAGAAGCAGGTGGTGTTTCATAGGATTTCAGGTTTCCATTTCTTTTTAAAATAAGGATACTTCTTTGGTTAGGTGTAGGAATAACCCTTCCCCTGAGAAATATACTTTCTGGATGTCAGGGGAAAACAAAATTTAGTCCAGTAGCGTTGCTTACTTGTTAAAGAACATGAGCTTTGGCACCATCATTCAGAACCAGTTTTGTTATTGATTACAGCTTTGTTACGGATATCCTGTTACTTACAAATGTCATGAGATATTAAAAAACTGAGTTTAACAGCGTGGTGGCAGAGTGTGCATCTATTTGCTCGGGTTACATACCTCTTTTTTCTTGTTTGTATTTCATTATACCAGATAATCCAATAATTTTTCAGCAAAGTTTCTAAGTTGCTATTTTTAATGAGAAATGTTAAGTATTTATTTTCTATCAAAGAAATATATGTTTATAGTTTTAAAGGACAAGTAATAGGAATCGGTTTTTAATGCAATATTAAAAACCTGAATGCTGCCTGCCAGAGGCAGTCATAAATTTCAACACATTTAGCTGTTTCATCTGGCATTTACCCCACTACATTTCTAAGCTTATTCTATACTAATATTTCCAGGCTTTTCAGTTTCAGATATTATTTATAGGCTTCATCTTACAAAATACAAAGATTTTGCTTTTAATACTACCATTCCTACCCATATTCCCTCTCCCTCATCCTCCTAATATGATTTGGTTACATTAATATGGCTTTATAAATACTTGTCATAGATAAACCGTAAATGATTATCTTTCTTTTCTTGTAAAAAAAAAAAAGGTCTGATTTTACATTCCTTTTTTATGTGTAAACTATCTTTTCTTCCTCTAAACTTTCCGATAAAGCTGTAAAACAGCTCCCAGGTATCAGTCAGCATTGAGTCTGTTTTGTTTTGTTTTTGGAGCCCTCTTTCCTGTGGCACTCCCTCCCTCCTCTTGAATTCTGAATTGGCGGTTCTCTTGCAGGTGTGCTGGGATGATGGCCTTTTTGTCTCGAGTTCTGTGTTGCCGGTTCTCTTGCAGGTGTGCTGGGGTGGACTTTTTGGTGCTTCTGGGTTGGAGCTCCTGCTCGCTTTCGATCCCTCATTTTCCTCTTGGTTGGTTCTGTTCCTTTGTTTTGTTGGAGCACATCTTCTAGGAGCTTCCTAGTACATGGGAGTTAAACCTTTTATAACTCTGCATGCCTAAAAATGTAATTATGCTACTCTCACATGCTCATAGTTTGGTTAAATTTTAGTTTGGAAATAGTTTTCTTTCCAAATTGTAAATATTTTACTACCTTTGTTTCTAGTGTGCTCTTGAGAAGTCTAATTTCATTCCGATGTCCAATCTTTCATATGTGATTGGAAGCTTTTTAAACCTTCTTTTTATTCCCAGTGATTTGAAATTTTTGATAACATTTGTTGGTGTATCCTCCCCTTCCCTGCCTCCACATTACATAGGACATTTGATAAGCTATCAAATTCTCAATCTCTAATCATTCAGTTCTGGGAAAATTTCTTATGTGATTTATTTTGTAACTTCTTCTCTCTTCATTTTCCCTATTGTCTCTTCTAGATATGCTCTGATTTGAATGTTGGGTCTACTGATCTGATCCTCTAATTTTTTTTAACTGAATTTCTCCTGTTATCCATCTCTTTGTTTGTTGTATATTCTGGAAGATTTTGAGAAAAATGTTTCTGTTTCCTATTTTTCTCTTTTTGTGGTTAGGATTGCTCTCTTTCATGGTATTGACCTTGCTGAAATATCTAGTGATCTTTTACTATCCATTCATATGATGGACATATGATGCATATGGTGAATGGACTATTAAAAAGACTGGAAGTTCTGAATACAGTCTGGACTTGTTGACAGTTTTATTTCATAGCAGAATTATTTAGTGTGAACCTGACCATTTCATTAGACTTAACAATTTCTCCTGAGAGGGATCTGCCAGGCTTGTGGAGGGAGAAAGAGAGAGAGAGAGAGAGAGAGAGAGAGAGAGAGAGAGAGACAGAGAGGGAGCATGCGTGCAAGTGCAAGCAAGAGACAGAGAGAGCCCTGCTAATACTCTGACAGCTGGACAAAGGGAGAGAATCAGGAATCTTGTCTGTTTGATATGATTTATTCCATTTTCAGTTTCTTACCATACTCCTGTCCTGCTTTATTTCTACTGTCCTCCAGTACTCAGTCTCTCTGGCCCAGTTTTTCCAGAGGTTAAATATCCTCCCTCTTATCTCAGCAGTAGTCATGACCTGGCGACACAGGATAAGGGTATAAGTCTTCGGTGTCTGCACTCTGCCTCTCACCCCGCCTTCCAAAGGTATCTGGCATCTTCAATTCCTGAATTGTTTCTCAGGTTCTGAAGTGCAAATCCATTTGCTTTTTAGTGGTCTCCTCTCATCATGCGGTTTTTTTTGTTGTTGTTGTTGTTTTGGTTTTTTGTTTTTGTTTTTGTTTTCAAATTTCTGTGGCCTGCCAAGACAGTTACCACTTGATATCTGCTTTCCATCTTGAAACCTTTTCTTGTCATCTTTCTTTTGCTCTCCTTGAGATTTTATACCTTATTTTTATTCCTTTATTACCATTTTATTAAGGCTTTGGAAATAGTGCACGTAAAGCCGTATGTTCAATCTCCAAGTAAAGCAGAATCCTTTCATATTTTTTCTTTGTAGTGAAAGATGACAGCCAGAAGTTACCTGAAGGCCCACATAAACCTATGAGGTAAGTTTTTCTTTATACAATTTTATATCGATTTATTTACCAAAAGGACTATTTATTTATTTATTTTTTACAAATTAAAATAATTTATTTTAGAAGGGTTTTTAACAAGGTTTGTAAAGATAACAGGCATTCATCAATTCCTCCATTCTGACATATTACAATTAATCAATGTTTTGCTGACTCGTAACAAATGTTAAGTTTATTTTTGTATTCCCTAAGGATTAGATTTTTTTTGTGTATGTGGTAAGTTTTATTTATTTTTTGTATTGCATTTTAGGTTTTGGGGTACATGTGAAGAACATGTAAGATTGTTGCATAGGTACCCACATGCCAGTGTGATGTGTTGCCTATCATCGATGGGCATTGGGTTGGTTCCAGGTCTTTGCTATTGTAAACAGTGCTGCAGTGAACATTCATGTGCATGTGTCCTTGTAGTAGAACGATTTATAATCTTTTGGATATATACTCAGTAATGGGATTGCTGCGTCAAATGGAATTTCTATTTCTAGGTCCTTGAGGAATTGCCACACTGTCTTCCAGAATGGTTGAACTAATTTATACTCCCACCAACAGTGTAAAAGTGTTCCTATTTCTCCACATCCTCTCCAGCATCTGTTGTCTCCAGATTTTTTAATGATCACAATTCTAACTGGTGTGAGATGGTATCTCAATGTAGTTTTGATTTGCATTTCTCTAATGACCAGTGATGATGAGCATTTTTTCATATGTTTGTTGGCCTCATGTATGTCTTCTTTTATAGTGTCTGTTCATATATTTCGCCCACTTTTGAATGGACTTGTTTGTTTTTTTCTTGTAAATCTGTTTTAGTTCTTTGTAAATTCTGGATATCAGCCCTTTGTCAGATGGATAGACTGCAAAAATTTTTTCCCGTTCTGTTGGTTGCTGATTCACTCTAATGACTGTTTCTTTTGCTGTGCAGAAGCTGTGGAGTTTAATTAGGTCCCATTTGTCTGTTTTGGCTTTTGTTGCCAATACTTTTGGTGTTTTGGTCATGAAGTCCTTGCCTACGCCTCTGTCCTGAATGGTTTTGCCTAGGTTTTCTTCTAGGGTTTTTATGGTGTTAGGCCTTATGTTTAAGTCTTTAACCCATCTGGAGTTAATTTTAGTGTAAGGTGTCAGGAAGGGGTCCAGTTTCTGCTTTCTGCACATTGCTAGCCAGTTTTCCCAACACCATTTATTAAACAGGGAATTCTTTCCCCATTGCTTGTTTTGTCAGGTTTGTCAAAGATCAGATGGTTGTAGATATGTTGTGTTTCCTCTGAGGCCTCTGTTCTGTTCCATTTGTCGATATCTCTGTTTTGGTACCAGCACGATGCTGTTTTGATTACTGTAGCCTTGTAGTATAGTTTGAAGTCCGGTAGTGTGATGCCTCCTGCTTTGTTCTTTTTGCTTAGAATCGACTTGGCTATATGGGCTCTCTTTTGGTTCCATATGAAGTTTAAGGTGTTTTTTTCCAGTTCTGTGAAGAAGGTCATTGGTAGCCTGATGGGCGTAGTGTTGAATCTGTAAATTACTTTGGGCAGTATGGCCATTTTCATGATATTGATTCTTCCTAACCATGAACATGGAATGCTTCTGCATCTGTTTGTGTCCTCTCTTATTTTGTTGGGCAGTGGTTTGTAGGATTATTTATTTAAACTCTGTTTTTTGTCCTAATTAAATCTTTGTTTTTAACTTAGAAAAGGAAGTAGATATCTTTTCTCTTATAGTATCTTTTTAAAATGTCCTTTTCAGAAAGAATGTGGAAATTTTTGAATTATTTCTAGACTGTTGAATTAAAATTAAATGTAACTATGATCTCACCTTTTTTTATTTTTGAAAAGAGAAGTATGTATTGTCAACCAAATGAGCACAGATCATTATAGATCACCAAAATTCAAGCAATTTAGGAGAAGATAAGGTTCTAGGAAAAAATTGTAAGAGTTAGGGCTGAAGCCATTGTACCTTTCAGGAAAGAGCCTGTGAATGTGGCATCAGTTCACCTTGAACACCTGAAAAAGGTATAGGCCTAGAAACATACATATGATTCTGTGGCATTTAATTTATTGAGCATTTCCATCAGCTTTATTTTGATAGTCAATCAGATATAGAAAACAGCCAATTAACTAATGTTGAAACCGTGTTTACTTTAGCTCATGTTTCCTTGACTAGCTCCATATAGAAGTTGAATAAAATTAGGTAATTTAAGTGGTTTCTCTTTGTGAAAAACCGTTGAAAAATTGCAGAAAGGTAAGCATAATCTAGTTAATGATACACTAGGTTGGTATTCAGTAGAGGGCATTGCTACCCCTTAAATGTATCAATGTGGTTGACCATCCTGGCACAAAATAGGCCTGTGATAGTCATTCAATGCATAATGGCAGTTTTATCACCTAAAACATGAATGTCCCTAGAAGTCAAAAGTTATTGCTCTTTATGGCATAGTTATTTGCAGTTCATAAAGATACAGTGCCAGTGTTTACTAAGAAGGCAGTAAGAACAGAGCAGAAGACCTTCTGTGGTCTCAGCTTCAGCAGGTCTTCTGACCCAAACCAAGGATAAATGGTGCTAGAGCCAGGTCTGATTTGTGATGCTTGCCTTGTGCCAGCCTGAACTTTCTAGAGAAGCCCTTAGGTAGAACTCATCTGATGCAATGCAGCCTAGATTTCAATGATACTCTAGACTCATGCTGTGTATCAGGCTGCACTTTGTTGTGTGTCTGTGAATTCTAACGTTTGCCCCTGGTACATTTGCTCTGAAACAGAGCTCAGTTATGTCTAGTTCTTAGTTTTTAAATAATGCATTCACAATGAGATCTTGCAGAAAGTGTTCAAAGAAAGATGCTGCTGTTAGTATTGTGTGTCTAGGGCCATATGGTTAGAACTTTGTATTACTTCATGAGCTGGAAGAACTGGCCTGGCTGTAGAAATGTATTCCAAAGATACATCCAGGCATTTGGCGCCCCCGTTTCTAAAAGACATAGCGAAACTCAGGCAAGGTCTATTTAACTGGGGACAATATAGTAGGGGAATCTTGCTGATGTTTATGAACTGAAGGTGACTTGAACTTGCACTAGTCATCTTGGGTGTTTGCAGTGGTCTATAGGTTACCACTTACAGGTTATGGGGCAGGTTTTCAGCCCTTGGGAGAACAGCTACTTATTCATATACTTAAAATGAATTCACCGAGCATATGCTGTATGCCAGGCATTGCGCCCCAGTGTGAGCATACACACGTGATTAATATGTGATCTCTAACCTCACAAGGTTTATCCTCTAGCATTGGAAGCCCTCTTCTTTTTTCCCCATTCCATAAGTATAAATTATTTATTTTGTATTAATTGTTGCATAGTATCAGAAGATGTTCCTCTTCTGAAAGGGAGGCAGTGCAAGAAGTAGGCCTGTCCAGCATAATGGACAATATAGAGAGCATTTGCCACCAGAGAATGTAGTTGGAAGACCACAGGGAAGGTATCAAGATCGTGACTAAGGGAAGAATTCTGAGGGCAGATTGAATCATATCTGAAATGAGTCAT